TGCTTGATGTGGACAGTTCGTGTGTGTGTGTGCTATGCCTGACCTGAAAGCAACGGTAAACAATTGGCTTTGGTCATTTGAGAAGATTGATCCAAGACACTTGTTGTGTATCTATAGAGACCATGGGCTACCAGTAGGCGTGTCCTTTCTAACCGGCTCGGGCCTTGTTCAGGCTCCGCTATTTGGATGTATATAAAACACCCTCCTCTCACCCTGTTCGCTGCCCCATCACCAAACTAAACTAAACGTTTTTCGCCCAAAAAAAGAGGACCTCGTCCCAGTCCGGTGTCATGATCGTGGGGACGAATGTCACCCTCGACTGGCGCGGCCAAAACCACTCGTTGGTCCCAAAACCACCCGACCGACCGTTGATTCATCAAACGCCATGTAACACCTGTTAGAAGACACCGGCCAGTGGGAGAAGTTCGCAGCGGCCATGGGACTGGACCAAACCGCAAAAGGGCTCGCAGTGGAATGGACTGGGTGGTGAGTCACCCGTCACGGTGGACAGGTCTTCGGAGTCTTCCATGCAAGATCGGTTTGCTTCAAAGCTCGGAAACATGTGCGTGATCCTTCGGTTTGCTTCAGGATGAACCTTCTGAAGTGAGGAGAGCCCAAAGATCTCCGATGGACATCGTGATCTAAGATGTACACCAACATACACCAACAAGTGATAAAGGATGATGGAGGGATGAAGATTTTCAACCTCTCAATGCCCTTGGGTCGGCATCTTCGAGACATGTAGTTTATATACTGTAGTAATATAATCATATTAGATATAATATAATCTATTTTGGGTCTATCCTATTGCCAGTAACAGCGGATGATGATGGTTACTAAAGGCCATATTCAAAAATAAATAGTGATAGTTGATAATTGTTTACTGACTGTTACAGGTAATAGGACAGACCCCAAATCTATGAATCTATTTGTAGTTTACCATGGCTGCACTCTCGAAGAAGAAGAACAAGAAGAGCCCTTGAGAACGAATAAATCGCAATACGGGATCTGTTCACGAAGTGAGGGGAAAAAGGGTTCCTGTTTAAGAGGAGTGTTCCCGTAGGCCTCGCCATTCACTTCCATGTTTGAAGGGTATCTGTATCAAAAACATCAAAAAGGACGTCAGGTTCACCACTGGTAGAGGCACCTCCCTTTCGGATCCTTTAAGGGACCCCCTTGGCCTGACCAAATCACCTGTCAGGCCGCAACTGGGCCATCCCGGCATTTTCTTCAGCAGGATGCGGTTATCCCGGTCAATCTCCGTGTAGCGGTCCTGAATGGGAAAACGGGACCGCCCAACGGAGATGGAGTCCACGCTCTTTGCCAGCTCTCTCTGATTGAGCAGAGCAGTCCTCCATCATTTGTTCCTTCTTCAAGTTCACCTTCACGTGCTCCAAGGTCGCCACCTCGGGGACACGAGACACGGCCGCGAGGCACGGCTCGGCGCTTCGGCTCCGGGGCCCCGGACCGTCGGCATGCCGGTGTCCACGGTCGATTTCCTGAGAACGATCGGGGGATCCACCGGTCACCGTAGTCGGTCATTGGGTCAGGTGACCTGTCGGGTCAGGTGACCTGTCGGAGCGAGGTTCAGGTGACCAGTCCGCTTCCATCTTGGAGAATGTTGGGGGTAGAGAGCATCATTCTGACTGCCTTTCATGATTGACAGTTACGGCTGGAAGTGATTGACGCAGCCAATCGCATCAGTCGGAGCCGCAGCCTCAGAAGACTTACGAGAAAAAGAATCCATATGCATACTGCCGTTCTCTAGCTGCAAACGCACTGCATACCCTAAAAGATTCGTTGCTTGGGTTTTGGGGTTCAAATGGGTTCATGTTGTTCATGCTTTCTGCCTTTGGAGGTTTAGAGAGAAAAAACTTGATATGATATACCCTTTGTGGTCAATTTCAAATTCAATTGCTGTGCCCGACGAAAGGAGTTGCGTTCACAGATCCAGAAGTTTAGTTCAGGTCTCATTTCCTTCGAGGAGTTTTCTGTCTGGATGTCTAAGACAGCCCCCAGGTTCCCAGCAAGCAACAGTGTTCAAAAACCATCCAAAACAGTTGTGTTAGGTCCAAGAGAAGCTGCAGCCAAGATGCATATTTCTCACCCTTTCTCGATGCATTTGTTGCCTCAGCCGGAGTACCCAAGAGGGGAAGAGGGGGCTTGACCACCCAGCCTTCCGGTGTGGCCGGAGTACCCAAGCGGTGGGGTCAGAACCTGCACCGGTTCTATCACTTCGAGGGCTTTGCTCTTTGGCTGCTCAAATCTCACAGATCATCTCACACAAGTCCAACCACATGCCTCTTCTATCTGCTCTGGCATGTCTACCACAGTCTGTTCCACCCATCAAAATGTTCACCGATCCTCCCCAACTGCCTTTTTCACCTTTGTCATCTCAAACCAAAATCCAAGGGCTGAGGCTCCAAGAAAAGCAGCTGAGATCAGCACTCTCTGGCCTTGATTCTCTTGGTGCAGATTTTGCTGCCACAAGGGATCGCCTTGTCCTGCGGAAGGCTCCGTGGTCTGGGACGGTTTTTGTTTCGTTGAGGCGGTCTGGATGGGTCTGGAGAGGTCTGGCAGTCGGAGCACGTGGTGAAGAAGAAGCTACTTTGTTCATCCTTGTTCCATCTAAGGGTGTGTCTCCCAAGAGACTCAAGAGAGTCATGCATTCATGTACATACCGGGGCGTTGTGCCAACTCCTTACCCAAACTAAGGAAGAGAAGGCTACGGCCGAAACCTGGAAATGAAGGCCAAATATCACGCCCTACAAACGCCACTGTTCCAAACTGCGGTGTCAAAACGAAGAAAACATCCTTAAAATTCCTTAAATATCATTAAATCCCTAAATATTGACAAGTCTAGGCAAGGTCATGTTCCGGATGATGAATGGTGATTATCTGATTGACAAGTGGATTGCTTTCTTACAGTCTGATGGATGGCAGTCTTTCTAAGCTGTGAGTCAAACACATGATATCTTTGATATCTTGATATCTTCGCAACCTCAGAGTGCGAAGGACAGAAGGGCCGACGAGCAACCGGTGAAACAGAGCTGTCAACAGCTGCTCAAGCAGCCTGGCCCAGGCCCAGCACAAGTCGATTCGCGGAGCGGCACCCGTTTTTGCCCATGTTCCATCGCAGGCGGTGCCGTGAGCATGAGTCTATGTCTGACTGCGAACACAACTGTCACTTGATCCGAAGGCTGATCGCTTGGCGTCACCCGATGCACCGTGTGCTTCCGGTCCGCGCAAATCGGGTGAAAAGAGCTCGCTCCGCGTGGGGCACAGTGCAGCACACTCGCTTGGCGTCGTGTCTTTCCGAAAGAGATGTACTCCAATGAACAATAAGATGGGAAAGATAATGAAAAAAATGATCAAGGCACATGCAGTCGCAGCAGTTCTGGCAGCTTCCGCTGCCCTGTCCGCAGCATCTGCTGCCCTGTCCGCACTGTCTTTGATGCCCAAGGCTTGCTTCGAAAAGCCACCCAATAAACTCTCCAAGGAATTGGTGGCCAGATTCTTCAACATGTTCGGGATTTGCTCTTCCGATGCGTGCGAGATGAGGGATGCTTTTTCCCTCATTCACGGTCGGCGCTCACCAATGGGCCAAAACAAGAAACCACTTCGCAGAATCCAAATGTCTTGAAAGCAAAAAACAGCTGCAGAAGCCATGGAAGCACAAAAGAACATTGAACAACAACTTGCAGTTGTCAGTTGTCCTCTTTATTTTGCAGGTGAACACTGGGTAGGAGACTGCTACAATCCAGATCCTGTACCAAACATTCTCTGGGAATCCGCACTGATGGCTTCGCGACGAGGAGGACGAACATGGTGGGGGGGCAAGAGCCATCCCACGAAGTCAGCAAACGCAAACGCAAACAAAAGTGACGAACTGAATCTAAACAAATATAACAAATGTCCACCCAAGATAGGGAGCCAATTGTTGATCAAACGTCGCTCAAACCTCCTTTTTGGAAGGGAAGATACTCTGAATCAAAGACTGGCAACAAAACAATTAACACAAGGTCACTGGGTCTCCAAGAAGTCCCAAACACACCTGCCGCTCCGTGTTGCTTCAGCCTCCGAAATCTCTCTTCCGAACCGATCTTCCGCATGGCGCCTTCCATTGGAAAGAGCCCCCCCCCCTTCAAAAAAAGAAGGCACCCGGCTACCCGGCTCGGTGCTCCAATCCCCCAACCACCCGCCCCACCCGGTCTCGTTCCGTCCCAACAGCTCCGCCGGTCCATCTCGACGTCCGAAGCACCCGAAGAAGCACCACCGACCGCAGCGGAAGCCGCCCGGGCTTCGTGTGGGTTCCGAAACGGGGAAGCACAGATGACGAACCAACGTAAACTGGGAGCTTCCAGATGTGACGAACTGCTGTCTGTGACACTGTGTCAAGTGCACTCTGTGACACTTTGAGGGAGAAAAAGCCTGGTGAACAGACTGCCCACGAGAAGTTGATTGGAGGATCTTCAGGCTATATACTTGGGGGCCCAATTGGGCAAGCTTGGAATGATTTCTGGTATGCCGTGGTTTCCTCTTCTTGGGCCACACAGCCAGCGAAGAGCAAGCGAGTTCGGCCCTGTTCGGCCTGCCCCTTTCGGGCTGGATCTGCTCCGCTCATGAACCAAAGGAGAGGGCCCCATGAGGATCGTTTTGGGCGGAACGTCGGAGGGGGGAAAGAACTGCGAACAACGCTTCTTCGGTCCAAATCTTGGGAAGAACAAGGACTGCCATGCTCGTGTTTGGATCGCCGCTACCCATGCTATCCACCAAATCCCTTGGCCCGCAGCACCGAAACACCAAAATTTTTCGTGTTATACCCTACCCACGAACCCACCTCCCTTTGTCCATCATGATAAAATCACAACAAGGCCCGGCCGGTTGGTTTTTCTATGCTTTTCTCGGTGTATCCTGCTCTTCTTTCTTCAAACCAAGCACCTCGGCGACACAGAACGGCACCTCAGCTCCCCATGGCCACGACATCGACAGTCGTTTTTTCACTCTCGCTCTGCCGCTTCGCGTCGCCAGGTGAGGAGTACCAGGCGTTGGAAAAGGACCACGACCTCAGCTGGGGCCCAGAGACCCGCAGGGACCTCAAGACCGTGAAACCCTAAACCATCCCAAACCCATAGGGTCGGACATCGTGCCACAGGACAAGAACAAGTAGACTCTACACTTTCTATACCCTCTGACTCTGTACATCGAAAATTGTGGATCGAACGTCGAACATGCATGAAAAATTCATCAAAATGCGATGATCCGAGCCCCGTGGTCCAAGTACGCATCCCCAAAAACACTTCAGGCGTGGTCTCCAGTCACCACAGATGGATTCGTCTCGAGTCTCGAGTCACTGATTTCTGGGCAGTTATAGATTTATAGATTGAAAGACCTTAAAAAGTGTAGGTCTTGGTGTTGTAGGAGCCACCCAAGACACGCTAAGGCCCCGAATCCACCTAGCCGGATGAAAAAACACACACTCGAGAAACTGCGTACTGACTCGACTGCGGTTTGCCACACGCCAGCCAAAGTAAAAAGCCTAAGGAAACCAGAGGAGTAAGTGACTCCAAAGTTCAACAGTGTGAAAATCCAGTTTGACAAGCAAGCTTCGAGGTAGCCCTTCAATGCACATCTGCCGACCTCTGAAACCTCACCAGCCTGAGCTCTAGAGTGGGATGTGATTACTCAACACCACAAGTTTCAGCAGGTACACGGAGGTGATCAATCTCCGCTTCCCCCATCCTGGAACAGCTTCGTTGGCACAGGTATCCACGATGGGCCTGCGCCCCCTCCGTGGAAAACCAACGGATTCCCTGTGGTTCCAAGGGTTCCACACACACGCCTCCCACAATCCTGCCCAGAAAGGAGGCACCCCCATCCTGCCCGGAAAGGGGGTAATGCGAGCACATGTGTGCGCAAAAAGGACAAATGAACATGAAGGAGACGAGACGGACAAAGGAGTGATGTCGTTGCCGACGAAGGGAAAGCAAGTGAAGAGGGACAACCAATGAACCAAAGCTCATTGCAACAAACCTGGGGCACCTGAACCTAGTTTGGAGTGGAGCATACGCTCGTGTATGTGCACAAGCTAAGGGCCGGGCAAACGCGCGGGCAAGAGAAGCAAAGGATGAAGATGACGAAACATGCAGACAGAAGGACATGAAAGAAAAGAAGGAAAAGAGGTCGGCGGGGGCCAATGAAGAGGGAACCAAATGAAAGGGGCCGAAAGGGGACAAACCGATCCGATGAAAAGCCGAACCTCATTAAAACACCTGCTGTAAATGCCTGGTTTGCTTGTAAGGCACGCTGCGCACGAGGAAGGAGGGGAAGGGAAAGAAGAAAGGAAAGAGAAAAGGAAATGAAAAGAAAAGATTGTGTTCCCAGCTACGACGCAAGCGTCCAAGGACACACCAAGACAAGATGAGAGGGGTTCCCAGCTATGACGGAAGCATACAGGGACACCCAAGCAAGAAAAGGAGATGGAAAAGAAGGGAAAGAGAGAGAGAGAGAGAGACACAGAGAGAGACACAGAGACAGAGACAGAGAAAGAGACAGAGAAAGAGAAAGACAAAGCTAAAGACAAAGAGAAAGAGAAAGACAAAGAGAAAGAGAAAGAGAACGAGAAGGAGAAGGGGAATGAGGGGAAGGGGGACAGGTGTTCCAGCTAGGAAATAAGCGTCCAGGGACACCAGGGAGAGGGGTGTACCTGGGTGTTGCATCCAGGGACACCGCAAAGAGCAAAAAGAAGGAAGAGGGGAGAGGGAAGGGAATTAAGGCTCCAGCAGACCTCAATGGGCCTTGAGAGAACTTCGGCCGCTGCGGCCACGTATGCCGCACGCCGTGCCAAAGTGGCTGGCAGCCTTGACCGCTATGGTCACCTAATGGCCTGCTCGAAAGCTGCCGACTCAGATGCAATAGTTCATCAAGTCTTGGCAAATAACTTTGGCATAAGTCTCCTACGCTCGCTACGCGCTACTCCGCTTCCCAGCAATGGAAACATAGACAAGCCCCCGATCGACGGGGCCACAGGGGACACTCCTCGATTACACCCTGGGCTCTCACTAAGGAGAGACACACTCGAGAAATTCCATACTGACTCGATTGCGGTTTGCTACACGCCAGCCCAAGTAAAAAGCCTAAGGAAACCGGAGGAGTAAGTGACTCCAAAATTCAACAGCACTCAGTGTGAAAATCCAGTTTGACAAGCAAGCTTCGAGGGACGCATGCAGTAGCCCTTTAATACACATCTGCCGACCTCTGAAACCTCACCAGCCTGAACTCTAGAGTGGGATGTGATTACTCAACACCACAAATTTCAGCAGGTACACGGAGGTGATCAATCTCCACTTCCCCCATCGTGGAACAGCGTCGTTGGCACAGCTATCCACGATGGGCCTGTGCCCCCTGCCTGGAAAACCAACGGATTCCCTGTGATTCCAAGGGTTCCACAGACACACACACCAAGACCACACCGGCTGCGAAGATGCTCGCCGCCGGAGCACGTCTGACATGCCGCGCCGGGCGCCGAACGCTCCACCCGACCCAGGGCGTCCGTGCTTCGTCACCACTCGTTCGCGAGAGACGGCCTGCTCCAGTTCGCGTGCCAAGGTCTCGGCCTTGCGAACTGGATGGGATGTTTCCTCCGATTTCGAGGTTCAGGGCGAACGCCCAGTGCTGTGTGGATGGGCGGCTCCGGTCAGCCTGGTCTCGAGTCTGGACAGACAGATGCGACAAAAGCACAGTGGCGTCATGGCATGGTAAACGAAATGTCTTTTGTGGAAGACATCCCTTGGACCCATGTCTCAGAAACCATCCTCCCCACAGCGCCCTGAAGTCTTTCACTCACCCCGTGCCTCGAACAAATGCTCTGGGACCACGGCCACCTCGTCGCGGTCCGTGGCACATCGTGGCACACGTTTTCCCGTGGATGGTGACCGTGGTGTTCACGGGAGGTGTTTGGGAACGGCTCTGGGTGGATGCAGGAGGTGATGAACATGTTATTCACATGATGTATGTGTTGAAATAAATGCTTAACTGTGTGTTTCTCTGCTTGACCTGACAGTAGAAAAGAATCAGATAGAATAAGAACTGAACCAGGGATCACCAGACCAGGAAGATCGATCAGAAGTCCATATGGGTAGTTGGAGGGCAGGACAACGTGCAGAATGCGAGCTGGCCAAACGAAACTCGTGTAGGAGTTTTCCTCACAAACAGTGACAGTGACTGGAATATCCTCAGGACTCTGAGCTGGCGATGTTCCTCTTCAATGAAATTGGCTTGCCCAGTTGAAACGCAAAGTGGGCGCTACTTGGTAGCTTCAAACCAATGAATCAACACCCCAAAAAATTAAACAGAAAAAGCATCGCATCTGGGCGCCGCACGTAAACACGGTTGGTGTTCAGCCCGGTCTGGAGCCTGATCCAACGACCGGGACCATCGATGTGTTTCATCGATTGCAAACGACCAGAATTGCCTCCCAAGCCGCAGCTCAATCCCAAGCACCCATCAACACAGAGTCACGCCAGAAAGCTGGGCGAAACGATGGATGGCACCAGGCCATCCTGCGTCCCCCCCCAGCACCACCTGAAAATGGATGAGCCTCAAGCGCTTGTGCAACTTGTAGCTGCTGACAGTTCGCCCTGCCTGGACAGAATTGGTTGCAACCGGCTTCCGGAACGCTTCTCCTGCTGGATACTGTGTACCTAAAAAAGAACTTGGGGCTGCATGACCGCACACACCTCCAGGTATCTCCATGTCTTTCCTTGACTAATCACCAGCAAGCAAGTAATTAAGGAAGTAGATTGCAATCAGAATGTATACGTGATCGCGAGGGGAATTGATGGACAAATGTCCACACTGCCTGACGAACATGTACAGTACAGTAATTCCATGCTCGCCATTGCCTAAACAGTCCCATGGTAAGGATGCGTAAGGCGCAAGCCAACCCAACCCCTGACCAACCCAAGGACCCAAGGCCCTGACCAAGTATCCGAAGGAGAAGGCTGAGACGACCCCAGGCACAATGAATGTAGCCTTGCTCTTCTGTGCATCGTGTTCCGAAAGAGGGGCAAACCAAGCAATTACATACATGATCATAGATGCAATTAGCAAAGAAGGAGTGCAGGGGCAAGTGTAAAGCATTTGAACGGCTGGATCCGAGTTGAAGTCTGGTGAGACAGTGACCATCAGCCAAAATGGACATGGGAAAATTGATGGAATTGAGAACACCCAAAGTCCTGGTCCGTCTTGAAACGTCGGGTCACAAGTCCAAGTTATTCGCCAATGAAGTTGATTCAAACGTCGAGTCGTCACACGCGTGACGTGTCCGTTGGAACACCGGGACGACCCCCAATTCTTCCAGGCCGACCCGACGTCTCGATCGGCCGGAACGATTCGGCCCAGCCGCCATCTCAATCTTCGAAATGGGCCGGGCACTCTCATCTGGCACAGAGGCGGTCGGGCGAGCCGAAGAAGGCGGTCTGAAGGTGTGGGTGACAGGTGGTCTGAACCCGGTGAGGCCAAACACGGTGATCCTGGGATGGAAGATTTTACAGTAAGGCCTCCGCATCTTGCGGAGGGAGAATGGACTTTCCTCTAGCTATTCCTGGACAGTAGAACAACATAGAACAACTCTATGTCTATGAGGTGGATCTGCATCCTTATGTCCAACCCCAAATAACCAACTGGCACAGAGCCAGGTTCGTGTGGCATGGTTCTTGTTCAGAAGCTGAGCAATTGCTGCAAGGGAAGCACAGCTCGACCCACATAGAACGGCATGGTCCGGTGCGGTTCGTCGGCCTTCACCGGACCGACCCAAAGTATCCGAGGACGACGAGCAACGCGCCCGCCCGCAGTTCATTCAATTAAGGGTAGAGTCGCTGTCACTGTTTATCAAACGTTTACTCAGTGGTGCTCGGTGGGTAATGCGTTGGCCAAAAGGAGCTAAAGAAAGGAGACTCCGACAGGTATCTGTTTGCTCTACCGCCTGACTGAAACATTGCATCTGTATCATCTATCCCGCCAACTTCAATCATCTTCGAATACGACAGTTGGAAGAGCGCAGCCAACCTCCAGCTTTCTTTTCCTGAGCATTTCCATGTTCAAAAGGTACAGTACAAAAACTCGCTCGACTCTGACTTGGAAGCTGCATTGATTGATCCAGAACTTGAGCGGCCTCGCAAACCGAGTATACTGTACTTTTTAGTTTTTTGTCTATAATCATGGTTTGCTTTCGCAAAGCTTTCGCGAACTGCGTCTGGCTTTCGCGGAAGTGTGGTTTTATGTAATAGGGCTTGTGCGTTTTCTCTCGTGGTGATGCGTTTTCGGTTGGGATTATAGGAAATGTGACTTTGGCAAAAGCAACACTGTAGTTCTTGTACAGCTTTTGCATGGCTTCCGCAAACCTTGGCAACCTGGCTTTGGCGTTTGCCTGTGAGTTTAAATGTTCATCGAGGTTTTTAAAGTTGCTCTCTTGAGAGTATGGATGGGTATGAGCTCGTCAAGCCTATGGATGTCCAGGGCCCAGGGTATGGAAATGCCATGGAAAGACAATGTCCTCATTCTTGCTGGTCTTGTCCAACCATGTCGAGTACGATGGTCTTATCCTGGATGAGTCTGGATGAGTCCGAAAGAAGGGTCCCTTCACAACATGCCCCCTTCACAACCCTCCGTTCACCGTTGGTTCCAACAAAAATGGTCCCTGTGTTTGTGTCACCAAACGGCGATGTCATCATGCCAAGGTGCGATGTCTTTCATCTTCAAAGAGATCTCACCTCACCCGGGGCGGATCGAGGCGGATGCGATCGCGATCGATCCAAGCCACGTAGCCTCCCCGAAGCGGCGTTTTGGCCGGTGGGATGTCCGTCGCCGGTGCAGAGGGACAGGTTGAAGAGGGTGGACCCACCACACGGAGAGAAATCCGCACTGTGATCGGTTCAAACAAGAAATTCAACAATCGAGTACTGTGACCAGGTAACAGGAGAAAAGCAAAAAATGAGGTTCCACACCTTTCCTTCTTGTTTGTTGCAAGGGCACAAAGAATAAACTAGAAAACACTATGACATAAAACCTCAAAACTCTTCAAATGTGCACCACCTCAAGATTCCTGATACACCCCACGGACCCGGCCCATACTGACACCCTTTTGGAGTATGGTCGAGATCTTCCCTCGAGTTTCTCGATGTTTCTCGAGTTTTCGCGTGCGCCCAGAAGGGCGCCCCGAAAACTCCTCCGATCTCTTGCACGTGAAAGACTTACCCCGACGGTTTTCCTCGACAACGCTGCACCAGTGGTTTTCAGGATCGCTGGTCGTCAGTGGGGTACACCTGGAAACCATCAGCGCCACTCCAACCAGGCTGATGGTGGTTTTGTTCTGGTGACCCAAAAGGTGTTCTCAGAGATTTGATCTGCAGGACGGTCCACAAAGAGAAACGCGGATGCAGCAAGCCGGGGGCCCGGACTCATCGCCTTGCAGGTGTGTTCAGTCTCAAAAGCAGCGGTTGATGCAAAAATGTCTACATCTCCTCAACAGAAGGGTAGACCCACAAGTTTCTGAGGCCACTTGGAGCCATCCAAATGACCAGAACTCTTCGTCAACATGAAAAGCATGAAAACAGTGGATTGGTCAGCGACTGTGAGTGGAGAAGTGGTAGACCAGTGGATAGATGTCTTGGGAAAGGCTAGTGAATCATAAATAAGTTAACCCTAATTTTACAAGACGAAGAACATGGTATGACTGTCATGAAGAAACGACTGCTCCCTCCCCTTAAAAAAAACAAGGACGGCTGTGTAAACTGGGTCAAGAACCACATCGGTGAGCGGGATCAATCTCGCACCAACGGAATGTCCATGCAAATACGCTTGGAGGTCTGATGTGGAAAGGTGTGGTGGTCCATGTGTCCGGCTGGGAAGCCATGCGAAGCGGCTTGCGATCTACGGACCGGACCGTCGTGTTTCATCCAAGTCCTTCGCAACTTACATGCTGTTCTGTCAGTCTTAGGCCCATCGAACTCATTCTTCCGGCTGAGTGGTCACTACCAGTAGGGGACCTAGCCATTGCCACCAGCTTGTACTTGAGGGATCATACTGGTGGGTGGTTGATGGAGACCCCTTAACCTCTTTTCAAGGCTACTAATGGAACCCCAAATTAAGGGGGGGGGCGTGGTTGCTGTCAATTGGCACTTTTTCTCAGCCTCCCACACCCTCAATTCTTTCGTAGTGAACACGACGCAGAACATAAACCTGGCACGGCCATGCTTGCGCAGCAGGCAATGGGTATGAGCACAGGTTCCAGGTATTCAATAACCACCAATTTTGCAATCATGTGTAAACTATTGTTGGTGTATCTTTCCTGAGAACATCATGGCACAGCACACAGGTGATTGTTAGTGGGTCATAATCCTTGACAGGGGCATGTTTGACTCGTAGAATAGGACAAACATACTCTGCGGGTCAGCATGTGGGCAACAAAAAACACACAAACACTCACATGGATTCACTTCACCAAGAGTGTCGGTAGGTGGACATCCGAAGAGTAACAATCTTCAGAAACCAACTCCATCGGAAATACCTATGTTCGTCCTTTCGTGGAGCTGAAGAGCTTGCCAGTGACGCTTCGTTGTGCTTTGTGTGCTCTCTCGTTCGAGTAGGAATGTCTGTGAGGGTGTTTAAAAAGCGCATATCTCGTGTTTTTGGCGTGTGATGTAGTGTGAACAGCAAGGTCACCCGTCGGAATCCCTGCTATCCCAGTTGTTTAAGGGGTTTTCACTTCCACCTCTTTTGCAACCGCCCAGGTCTATGGAGAACTGAGGCCCATGGCACACCATCCCGCCAGGGCTGAGGAGCCTGTGCCCACCTGGGCTGGCCAAGGGAGAAGAAGGGGTTAGCACGAAGCTGCTACAGTACAGCATCACTGCAAGAAAAGGCCAAAACTCAGGCCATTCATTTACAGTTATCAAAGTCTATGTAAAAAAATGTATAAATCATATACAATAATATTGTATATATATATATATATATGTGTGTATATATATATAATCATATATGTATATATCGTGTTTTCTTCGGATGCGTTAAGACTAGAGGAAAACGCTGACGAACGTGCCCGGCAAAGGTGCTTGGCAAAGGTGAAAACAACATAGAAGATTTTTTTTGTGGACTACACGAGCTGGCGCAGGGAAGGCAAAACCCCTTTGACACCACATCCAAGCACTGTCAAAATCTTGTCACCCTTAGATGCCAGGCAGCTACTTGCGCACTTTACAGGTTCGAAGTCCATCAACTTCACACAGTTGGCCGAAGATTCACCCGGGCTCAGTGAAATGCAGCGGATAATCATTGGTAAATCAGGCCGGGGCTCAACGGGGAATCAACGGGACCTTGAAACTAAAAAAGCATCAAAAATCATCAAAAGTCAGGGAGTTCATTGATTTTTTGCGTCCCCGTTGAATCACAAAAAACAAAACACATTTATAGGAGAAAACATCAAAATCTTGGGAAAAAATAATGCAACAAAACAAGAAACAACATGCTTTCGTACAGAAAACCTACAAATAACGCCCAAAGGCCGCAATCTTGCCACCTTCCTGCCCTGATTCTTAAATTCAAAAGTGCGCTTCTACGGACAGTTTATATATATATATATTATATATATATATTATATATATATATAATATAATCACCAGTCCAGTCGAGGGGATCGACATTGGTTAGAGTATACAATTACTATCAATTACCCCCATGTTTCCAGTACTCAAGTGTTGTGCAAGACGAACCCCCATAGCACAGTCTGTGTATTTACGATCGCTAGGTTTCCCAATCTCCATCAATCCCCACTCATCCCTATCCAATTTCCCCGTGATGGATGGTGGCATCAGTGGCATCCAATTTCCGCATCCAACCCCACACTTCTCTCCGTGACCGAGAGAGGCTCCAGACCAGCCACAGAAGTGACCTGTGTGGCCGCTCCATGCCACTAGAACACGAGCGCACCAAAGCTTAAAAATGGCCCCCCGAATCCACGGATTGGATGATCTTCCAATCAACTGATGCAAAGGGAGAACATGTTCAGACTGATCAGAACAGTAATCCAGCTAAAGGCCCCAGGCCGCTCCTCTAAGCTACTTAATAGGTGGCATGCTGTGAAGCATGGATACCGGAGTGTCTCCGCTGAGGCGCTGCATGGATACACATGCTTTTGCTGTGCAAAAAGGTACCAGGTACCTCTTCGACATCACCTACAATGCAGCCAGGGGTGCTCCGCATATTTTAGGCAACATGGGCATGAATTGCCTGCTGAAGGTAAAGTTGTTTCACGCAGTTTCCCTGGCATCATACACAAAATATCACAAAACGGACTCCGTTTTGGCAGGAAAGGAGTAAGCACAGGGATGTTGAAAGTATGCTGACCGATCTTTCTGGGGCTTGAAAGATGCATTTTGTCCTCTGAAGTCTGAAGATGACTTCGTTCCCTGTCTCTACAGACTCATCTACAAGGGATTTGCGCAAGCGCACGATGCCGTTTCCTATGCCGTTTCCTTTACTGCTTGAAACTGTTCAGATCAGACTTTCATGAATCCGCTGATCCCCATATTGTTTGAGTTATCTCCTTGTTCGAGGCTCGAGGAACTGCGTGTTCAACAAATGAATACGCATTGCTGAATGTGAGTCGGAGAGCACATTCAGAGTGACTTGATCATCAGTTTCGCTCATCATACTTAGTGGTAGGAGGAGAGAGCAAATGCAGCCCGAGCGATTGGCACTGGCTGAGGGACCTGCACCGACAGTTGTGTTGTGTCTGTTGTGGTCCGAAGAAGTGCTGTCTTGGCAGCCCAACAGCTCCGTTGGTATGGTCATGTTGTCATGTATATATATATATATACCAGGACCATGACCCACAAGGGGTGGTTAATGGACACCCCTTAACATCTAAGGGGCTATCAATAGAAGCCCCATAGGGTGTCCTGGTATAGAGCATGTTTTTAGCAGTTTTCTAGGAGCATAGCCAGGCGGGAGAAAGCTCCACCAGACCTTCGTCCTCTACCTCGACCGGTTGGAACGATGTCTTACCGGGATTTCTGCATGTATCGAATCGAGAAGTAAGCAGATCGAGGGCAGCGATCGCATCTTCTTCAATGCTGCTTTGCTGCAAGCCTTGGGACGGCATCTTTTCTGGAACATCCAGATGATCGGCACTTGCACTAAGCAGACTAAGCATCAAGAGGCACCTTCGGTTTGGCTTACTGCTGCAATCCACGCTTGACATCAGAGTTTTTGTACTCCTTCATGTTTTGCAAGCCTCCAGTTTACTTTTAGCAGGCCTCGACTCTGCAGCAGCACTTGAAAGAGCCAGAAGAGCTCCTAAATGTGCGTCGGGATCGAAGGTTGGCCGACAAAATGGGAAGTGGAGGAACTTCCTGCAGGCTTTGCAACTGAGCTGTTTGCTTGTTGGCAGGAATGGCAGCTGACGGAACACGGGGGCGGCTGAGTATTTGTACGGATTAGATCAGACAACTTATGTTGTCTTTCATGTACTTCGATGATCAAAGGTTGAATGAACCGCACCTTGACATGTACCTTTCACCTACTAGTAACAAGAACCTACTAGGTGAAGGCCATCGCTACTAGTAACAAGAAGCTACTCGTAGCTCCATGTCTGACGGGTACCTTTCACCGATCCGTGTTCACACATTGTGCAATCATTTGGCACTGGCTGGCCCGACTGAGAACAAGGGAGAGAACAAGGCTGGATTTAACACCCCAAATCTCGACTGTCAATCCATATCATCCATATCCAGATTTCACATGATTTCACATTGATGTCCCAGATGTTGCATGTTCCACACCCCAGATTTCACACGTTCCATCTCCATCTCGCTCAGGTCGCCACTTGTGATCCTCGATGACCTGTTCTTGCGCTTCGGGCGAAAATGGGTCTGATTGCAGGGTCTCCCATCCAGAGTCATGGCTTCATGTGGCTTCTGGACATTCTGGACACTGACCCTTACCCAGGAAACAGCAACCTTGGAGGAGGTTTGGAGGGTGACCCACACCCTTGGTTACCGCACCTGAACGCTTTCGGGGGCGCCTGGACGCAGACTGGTTTGTAAAGAGTCTCCCAGGCCCCAAGGTAGCAACACACCGCAAAGCAGACAAGTTGTTTTCTTGAAAAATGTTTGTGGACGTTACAAAAGTGGGAGGAAGTCTGTTTGCATCTTTTTGCCAGAGCCTGTAATCTCTCACGAGTTCCAGCCTGGCTTGAGAGCTTCACAAAGTCTTGCGAGGCAGTTCGCAGGGCCTTGGGGGACGAGAAAGGGTGGAAAGACCGGCAAGAAGCTTGCTTCCCGATGATTCCGATGTGCACATCCACGCAGGTTCTCTCATCCGGATGCACCGATGTGCCCAGCAATCTTCCATCATAACCCGAGTGGGAACTTCACAACCGTCAACGGAGTGTAGAAGAGACCGCATGGCTTGAAAGGTGATGTTTCTGAAGTTGTGCTCACTTGCTTGAGCTTTATTCTAACTGTGGTCGTTCTGCTTTGATCCACACCCAACTGAGGAGCCCATAGTACGAAGACCTTCCTTAATGGTGTCGCCGTCCTTCCCGCTGAAGCCCTTGCGAATCGCGGGGCCCGCCGCAGGTTACAAGCAGATGATTTTTGAAGGTGCTTTCTGGGTCGCAGTCCAAAAGAAACAGCTCGAGACTCACCTGCCACCACATCTTCCTCGCAAAACCAGAATCGCGACCATACCACCTCCCAATGTCAAAGGCATTTAAGAGATTATAAACAGGTCTGTTCTCCAACTTCGCGCTCCTGAGGCTTCAGCTTGCAGCCTTGCCAAAAGCCCGGACATCTTGCAACCTTGGCCGGGCGGGTTTTCTGTCGAGGCTCCCTTTGGGGCTGGTTGACCCTTTCAGAACTGAGTGCCGAGCATTGGCAATCAGGGCATGACTGGAAGCTGAAATTCCTCAGGCCTTCTCCATTCTCATGTGTTGTAATAGTAGAGACCATGCTTTGCGCTTCATGACATTTTTGTCCCGCAGTCCTGTATGTGGTTGTATGATGCTGCATGACATTCAAATTCAAGCTAGTCAGAAGCCACATAAAGGAGTTCATAGAGGTCAACATCTCTGGTTTACTGCACCCACATTCATAGAAACATACCATATCATACCATGCACTGCTTCTTCTTCTTCTTCATCATCTTCTTCTTCTTCTTCTGCTTCTTCTGTCGCCTTTCTTGACGGGGAAGTTCCTCAAAATGGTCTTGCTCACCGTTCTCACCGAGCAGGTTTACCATCTTTCCGTCTCGAAGCTTGCACGATTGATCACGAGAGACGAGACAAAGACACTCCCTGATACTAACAAGATCAAAAGGCCATGGAAATTGGCCTCCTGGAGGCTCGACTCACTGATTGGTCAGCACCCCCCTTGAGTGTCCCAGGCTTTTCTGTGGCCTTTGTGGGGGCAGAGTCACCAAAAAAGCAGGAACGCGGGCAGGCCCGAAAAGAAGCACGGCACCGTGCAACACGCCAACCCGCCTCAAAGGCGCATTGCGCCATGTTCCAGCCGTGCGACCCACCGCACCCGCCCCTCCCGCGGCCGCTGCTTTTGTGGCGGTGGCACCACCGGCCTCCGGCCGTGGAAAATGCCCAGCTACGCTACGGGCGACGCGTCCGAGTTGAAATCGCTACGGGCAACGCGTGGGAAGCATGTTGCCTCCGTTTCGGCGGCCGTGGGTCTAAGCCGGTGAACCGACTGTGACTCTGTTGAGTAGGGACAGTAGGGATTTGGACCCACAGCCAAGAGTGAAACCACATGTCTTTCCAACTGGGACGTTTGATCCTAGGTTCCCACAAGTTGACAAAACGTCTCAAGATCACCTATCAATGCAGAATGGTCATTCCCAATCTGAACTTGTCTCTGGCACATACTTGCAGGTGTCAAGTTTCTCTCGAATGTGAGTTCACAAAATGTGCACAAATAACAAGCCTTTGCATGATATTGGCCTGCAACCTATCACCGGCCCAGTTGACCTGACATTAGCTATGTACTGAATGGTTGGAGCTACCAATTGATTGCTCAACAATTCCCTTCAGGTGACTTGCTACAGGCTGCAGTCTGCCATTTGGCAAAATCTCTGGGCAGCCAGAAGCCATCTTGCTATCATCATGGTCGCGCACTCGCACAGTGAACAAGAGATCTTGCAGAATTCTCGTGGCCACATGTTGAAGGAAAATGAAGGAAACGCAAACCTCGTGAACCCAGGCAAGAACTAGGACTCTTTGTGGGGAGACCCAACATACAGTCACCACTTGGGAAGATGGCTCGTACCTCGAGCTTGCAAAAAAGTCTGCAAACTCGTTCGCATAACCCATGACCGAAGTCTCACAAGAGCTCGTACCTAGCAAGCCGATACCCCCAAAAACCAAGCCGATCGGACGTGTCCCAACGTTGGGCGTTCTCGGTTGCTCAAAGACCTAGTAGCGTCCTTTTTCCTAGTAGTAAGGCCAGGAGCCCCTAGTAGCTTCGTCCTTGCTCCGAATAACACCCACCGGCTGGGAGGGTCAGCACCTGGGAGTTACTCTTCGGTGCCCTTTCTTCAAGACGAGCTCCCTCCTACCACCGGCCTCCTGAAGTCTCAGGTCCAACAGCCAGGCAAGTAGGTCGAATGGGGGTGCAGAATCACGTCGTGCGCAGGTCATGCGTGGGAAGTCCAGTGCTCCGCCCTCTGGAAAACCACCCATCTAAGCACCGTGACCGATCTGCAGCTGTGCTTTCAACAGGCACGGATCGGCCGGAATCCATAAACACATATACTGTATAAACACGATCATTTCACGGATCTGTATGCTATCCAGACTTCCCCAGTTGATGCTTTGCAGGCCGCAGGCTATTAGTTGATGTCCAGATTCAGCCGAATGCTCCGAATGCACCCGAACAAAGGGGCCGTGTCTTCATTCAAAGAAAACCAACGAACCAGGCGTCTTGCATGGCAGCAAGTCCGGTAAGCAAACCAGTGCCATGAAGGATGATAATGATAGACCTTAACTGAAGCTTCGAGGCTCAAGAAGCTTGGCAGGCTTGTTCCAAGGCCACGTGGATGTCTACCCTCCCTCAGAAAATCATGTAATGTAAGCAGCACCCTTCGTAGAGGATAATGGTTTTCTAGCGGCGTAGTTCCACTCTCCATTGCTTGAGGGAGGTAAAAGCTTCACAATCCTTCCAATTGAATTCGCCGCGGGTTGAGTCCGTCTGAAATAGCATTACATGTATCCTGCTGCTTCCGCTTGAGAAATGACACATGCCACAAGCCAGATGGGGCACTGCAAGAGCTTCTTTTCCAAATCTTTTATATGCTCGACGAGCTCGTTCTTTTTAGCTGTGAGCTCCTCTCAGAGACCGTTGACGCAGCTACAGCAATTTGGGTTTTTCACCCAACCCCGGTGAAAGTTGCTATGACACTTCATCAACCCACTGGTTGGAATAGGTTGGAATCTAGGAGGGGCTGGAGATTCCAGATTCTCACTAGACAAGCTCTCAAACTGAAGAATTACTTTCATTCTCACAGTGTTCTAGACAACCGCAGGGGCTTGTGAGGTGAGGAGTCCGGAATAGTTCTGATCCTTCCTCAAGTTTGGAAAATGGACTTCAGCATCAACGCAACGATCAAACCCGTCAGAAACCAGCTGGTCAGACCACCAGCCTCAACCCCCTTCCTGCCTGGAGGCTTCCCCTCCCAAGCAACGCGTTGGAACGGTCGAGCGCTCGAACCTGAGCATTCTTGACTTTCTTCTGACTTGTGACATCCATTTGGGCCATCAGCTCCTGCAGATGGCAAGCCCATTCTAAGAAGGGCGGCCCATTTTTGCGTGCCCCAAGAACCAAGCTTGGCACACGGTGGGGCGATCGAACACGGTGAACACCACACCCTGTGGTAGAGTACACCGCTGCAAAGTTCAGAGCGACAAAAGACTCCTGAATCCAGCGGTTGAAGTTTCTACATGATGGTCTTGAGTGTTGGGCATCTAGTTTTGAGACAGTATACACTGACGCGTGCCGTTGTAAGACTTTAGACGTACTACAAATGGACACCACACCCGAAATCCGACTGTGAGAAGCGTTTGTAACCTCGAACGAGCGGTACCGTTGCACTGTAGCGAAACAAATGCGCATGAAACGCAGTGGGTGCAGTGGGTGTGGAAGCTGGTACCTTGTGAAAAGTAAGACTTTGTGGCTGTAGGCGCGTAGCGAACAGGACTGTGTGACTAAAAGCTATGCTATGACATCAACTTTGCATTCTGCAAACTTTTCTCTACAGTATATAAGTAGAGGAAGCGGACAAACTGCAAATAGCATGTGCTTTGGCTTAGACCAGACGGGATCCTTCCCAAGGGCATCACACTTCGAGCACCAGCTCACTAGCTGACTTTGATGAAGTATGAACATGTATGAACTGCTTTATGAGGTAACGGTGGAAAATCGAGCATTGCTCAACCTTCACATCCGCTCAATGTAAGAAGCGTGGAAGTGCGGATGCCACGACGTTCGCACACACAAAAGAAGAAAACATGATCGGATCTGGATTTCCTCCTCGGGTGTAATCGGTCGCAGCCAGTCCTCCTGATTCAATTTGCCCAACCGTTTCCTTTCCTCTTTGATCCTCATCAAGTCAACGAAGTTCACAATTTCCCACCCGTCAATCCGATCGAAGACCCTTGAATCGCTGCCTTCCCCTTGCTCCTATCACTCATCCACTCCACGAAATAAATTGACAATTACTTTACTTCGAGTGATCCCCACCATGACATTTCAATCAGTTGTCTTGATGCCATAGCGACGAACACGTTGCCATGGTCATGGGTATTGTAGTTCTCGATTTTGTTTGTGGGTCCTCGGGTTGTGTGCTGTGGTTGTGTGTTGTGTTTGTGGTTGTGTGTTGTGTTTGTGGTTGTGTGTTGTGTTTGTGGTTCTGGTTGTGTGCTGTGTTGTGGTTGTGGTTGTGTGTTTGTGGTTGTGTGTTTGTGGTTGTGTGTTTGTAATTGTGTTTGTGGTTGTGTGTGTTTGTGGTTGTTTTTGTGATTGTGTGTTTGTAGTTGTGGTTGTGGTTGTGGTTGTGGTTGTGTGTTTGTGGTTGTGTTTGTGGTTATGTGTTTGTGGTTATGTGTTTGTGGTTGTGGTTGTGTGTTCGTGGTTGTGTTTGTGGTTGTGTGTTTGTGGTTGTGTGTTTGTGGGTGTGTGTTTGTGGTTGTGTGTTTGTGGTTGTGTGTTTGTGTTGTGTGTTTGTGGTTGTGTGTTTGTGGTTGTATGTTTGTGGTTGTGTGTTTGTCGTTGTGTGTTTGTGGTTGTGTGTTTGTGGTTGTGTGTTTGTGGTT